CTACTTTTGAAAGAGGTTTTTGCAAAATTGGCCTTTTCTCCAACCAGCTGTTAACACTGAACAAAATAAAGGCAGCTACAATCAACAACAGGACATCATAAAGCTTGAATACAAGAAAAATCAATAACTAAACTAAAATCCTTTCTTGTTAGAAGCCAAACCAGTTTTAAACAAACATAAAAAACTAAAAACAAACATGGTAGATATCTGGCCGACGAAGCTTCGTCATGATGTTTAATATTGAATACATTAAACTTTATTTATGGAGCCTGTTCGAAGATTACAAGATTAAGAGTGCATCAAAAAGCAGAAAAATAAAACAGGCAAGTCATAAAAACATCAGATTGTGGAAGACAGATAAAAACACAATATAATGTATAAAAACCAGCACAGTGTTTGAAAAAGTAAAAGCATTTTCAAAAAAAAAAAAAAAATACAGATCAATGTAAATTAAGCTCAGATCCAAACCAGGACAGGCTCTCTCATAACAATATGTTTTTAGAGGAGACTTTAAAGAGGTCACTGACTCAGTCGACCTGATTTCCTCGGGCAGATCATCCCAGAGCCTCGGGGGCCGCGATTGTAAACGTCCCCCTTTAGCTTTCAGCTGAAGCAAACAAAAGATCTCAGGCGGTGAGAAAAGGAAATAAGACGTCACATAGCTGTGAGAGAGGCCATCGAGGGCCTTAGAAGTGATCAGTAGTTGTCTTAAAAACACTAGGAACCAGTGTGAAGGGGGTAAAACTGGATCGATGTGATGCTTCTACTGGTTCTGGTTGCTTTCTGTACAGTTTTACATTTGATTCAGGCAGATAAACAGACTGTTGCAGGTGTGATGGGATAAAATGGTCTCAGTGTCCTTGAAAGCTAAGATAGACAGTGTTTTTGAAATATTTTGTAGATGATAAAAACGTGATTGTACAAACTTTGTGGTGTTCTGATCAAATCTTAAGATTACTGTCAAACCCAACAACACGCTATCAGGCTTGATATGATCCAAACAGCATCCAGCTGATGGTAGAATGAGTTTTGTCTTGTGCTGCAACTCAAGACTAACAGTGCAGATGACACCTCCATGTTTTCTAGATGATTGTCCCTAATGTGCAATATGGGGATGCAGTAATAACAACGTCGTAACACAACACAGCTTGCAGCTTCACACTCGCTGAAAACAACTTAATTACCAACGTATTCAGCACCATTTATTGGTTTGAAATTATTGTCTGATAAGCAACAAAGAACAAAAAAATAGCCTGGATCGTTAACAATATGTGTGGTAAATAGTGTTCAGAGATTCACAGAAAGTCATGTAATAATGATCTACGTCCACAAGAGGGCAACACCACACAAGCATTGTGTTATGTGTGACACTTTGTGCCACATCTACAACCTTTCCTGGGAAGATGTAGTGAGATGCTAGAACCTTATTCCATGTATATTACAGTATATTCATGAGGTTAATCATGACTGTAGTTTTCTATTTTAAATGCAACATTCTGGAAGTCTCTTAACTCTCTGAACCTCAAAACCTGCCAGCAGATTTGAAAATCTATCTTTGAAACAATCATCAAAATGACGCCTTTCATCAGCCAAAAACTTTAAAAACAGCAAGAATGGTTGGATTTTCAACTTTCCAACAGTCCTTGAATTACTCATCCGTGACAGGCTGGAAAACTTAACCGTAGCTAAACTCACAATCATAACATGTCATCAAAATCTCATGGGAAAATTCTTGTTAGCACAACCAAGAAGTGATAATTGAGTCAGCTGCCACTAGTAGACACATGTGGAAACCCATTAAAATTGTAAATAGTTAAATATCTATAGGATGTAGAGTCACTTTTTTGTTTTTTACACCTGTAGAGACACAAATGTCGGATATGTTAAATCCATGTTTTTTCATTTTTTGTTGAAATAATGAAAGAAATTCAGCATTTTAAAAAAATTTTTTTTTAATAGTTGGTATCATAGCTGGTATTTTTAAGTTCTCTCTACTTCTACCCATGGTTTTGTTGTATCCATAGAGGTGCAGGACTTTATATTGCCGTGAGCAATGAGGCCACAGTGCGTAAAAATGTGACAGGAGCAAAAAAATGGCCAAAAACTGCTCGGGGTAATATTGCACGATCAATTTTGTCAGTTTTACTGAGAGAGGGACTCTGGTTTATGCACCTGCAGGAACTGTTATGAGTCTGAGTTCTTTCCAGTTTTAGTCTTTCACCAAATGTAAACCTGTAATGGAAGTTAGTGGAATAGAAATGTTGACCTGCTCGCACTCTGTCTGCAGCCTCATGTTGTATTTATGATATATAAAGTTTGTTTATAGCTTCTGGAGAGGCCGCAGCAGAATCACAAACCCACACGAACTGCTGACGGATACAAAAATCATGTGATGTTAAAAATAACATGGTTGTAGTGTTTGAATTTATTCCACTGAAGTTTTTTGATGTATCTCAGTGTTCATATTCATACAGCTCAGCTCGTATTCATCATGTTCAGAAACTTCGTTAAAATATTTATTTAAAAAAAAAAAAAGCTGGAAAATAGAAGTTGGCCTAAAGATGCAACATGAGGAGAAAATACATTATTTTCTTGTGTGATAATGGATAAACAAAGACAATCATTTAAAACCACCAGGGACTTCAGAATAACTGCATAATTATATGGGATTATTAAAAAATATGTGTTTTTGTGCAAAAACTGAGCATTTTTCTCATCCATTGAATAACAGTGTTAGCAACAGTATAATAATTCCTTTATTCATATAGCACATTTTAAAAACCAGTTTACAAAGTGCTGTGCAGAAAGGACACATTAAAGACGATGAGAAAATACACGCAAAGTACATGATCAATGTATTGTTTACAAGAATAAAACAGATTCAGACACAACAGCAAAAGTACAACTAATTCAAAGCGTCGCTGTGGTTTGGCTGAAAGGAATTTGTCGTCTGCTCCTTTGAAAAAACAAACTACATTTAAAAATAATGGCAAGATTTAGGAGTGATGAAGTAAAGAAGAGGGCTGAAGGGAACCGTTGTAATACTGGTGTCTGACATGGAGAGTGGAATGCATAAGTTTAATCTGAACACTTCATTGTCTGGGGTCTGTATTGTTGTTGTTGCACAAATATCAAACTGTCTTAAATGTCAAGAGTAAAAATTTAAAATTGGGAATGAACAGCCATCGAGCAACTCAAGGTCTACTTACGAACTGTTTTCCGGAGCTCTCTGTGGTCTTGGTCAGGAGATGCTTGTTTCTGTAAATCCTCCTGTAAATGATTATATGGTTGAAGCAGGTAAGTGGACCTTGAATTAAGACTGTTCATTACAAAAACAACATTTTTGCAGGGTTCTTTCACTGAAATTACAAAAAGACGTTTTCTTATAACAGCATACAGCCGTCACCATAGTTTTGGTCTCTTGTGCCAAACTTGAATCTAATTTTGCTTGTGCTGCTCACAGCATTTTAAAAAATTCAAAAGCGGCACCGCTTCCCGTAAACAACGTCCTGCTTACTCGGGATAATTTTTCTATAACATGTTTACTTTGAAGTTAATTATAAATTAGTTATAAAGTGCTTGATAAAACTAAAACCAGCGAGGTCTGTGAGTTATTCCTCTGAGTGGAAGCACAGTTTGTGGTAAAAGATTCTGATGGTAAATTTGTTAGTATATTAAAAATGAATAAAAAAAATAAAAGACAAATATCTATTACATTTCTGTGTAACTGTACACCAGATCTGATGGTATCTTATTTGTAACTTCAGTGAACTGACCCTTTAGAGTGATAGTTTTGAAGTTCAGTTTGTTTGGGGAAGAGTTAGATGGGAAGAGTGATACCACTTTAAGTTATGCTAATTATGAAGCTACAGTTAGCTGGTTAGCTGAGCGTAGCATAAAGACTGTGCGTACAGGGAAACTAGCAGCCTGGATGTTGTACAAACAACACATACAAGTTAACAGATGTACAAGTTGGTGAGCTTTAGAGGTACTAATAAACTGTTTCACTTTGGGCAGACCCAGACTAGCCGTTTCCAGTCTTAATGCTAAGCTAAGCTAAGCAACTCATGGCTGTAGCGTCAGATTTAAACCTGCAATGAGAAACTTCCGTCTCTCCGTTCTGGCAGTGACGGTCATGACGCAAACGCTGTTGATGTGCGATCATGCCTCAAAGTTTGACGCTCTTCTTTAGTAAACTGTAAACCATTCCTATGAATAGAAGTTCCTTTTTTTATCTGGAGCATCAGAAGTTTTTCTTGGCACTTTTTAGGTTTCTCGCCATATTCGTTGCTGCTGTAGCCTCTTCCATCTCTGTCGCTGCCCTCTTTTGGTAAAACAATCATTGGAAGTTGGTGTAGAAAGCGCCACAAACCAGACTGTAAACATAGACTGCTGTTTCTCTCCTTCAGCAAACCAAGTTAACCACTAAGTCGTTTATCTGGGGCTTAATCAGCATCGTGTAAACATATTTTTCTAAAACATAGCAGACGTTCATTTAGATGTAAAACTCCAGCACTCAATCTTTAATGGTGAGATATGACTATATAAATGTGTGGTATCAATCTTGCATCAAACTCTTGGTTTGACAATTAAAATCATTGAGCACAATCTAAAGAAAACCAAATAAAATCACAGCAATAAAAGGGGACCGTTTCAATATCATACAAAGATGCCTAATTCTTTTAAATGTACTTCTGCATACAAAAGGTTTAGAAATCGCAAATATTTGAACTACTAATATGAGCTCACATGAACTGAAAACAAAATGAAAAAAGAGGAAATCCAGACATGACACAAACCATAATAGTTTCGGTGGTTCAGCTAAAGTTTTTCCAGTGGTACTGACCTTATATGTGTTGTGCTATGTTCACTTTATAAGTTGCTAAAAGACAATGAAACATACTCTAACCTAAACTACTGTTTCTAATGGTGCGATTTAAAAAAAATACTTTTTCCATCAAAGACGAAATGTTCAGCGTTTGACGCCAAACAGAATAGCACTACCGTCCGTCACTCAGACATTTACACCCGTTTGCAAAAGAAACACTAGATTCCTGATTGATGCTCTCTTTGACTTCGATGGGCAGCGAGTCAAACAGGTGATCTTCCACCATCAGGCAGCTCCTGCGGAGGAGGCAGCACTGACCGAGCTGAGCCGGGAGGCGATCCAGACAGTTTCCCTTCAATTCCAGATGCGTGAGCTGCGAGAGATGGCCAATTTTCTCAGGAATGGAGGAGATGCAGTTGTGGCTCAGACATAATGTCCTTAGTTTGGTGCACTTGAACAGTTGCTTGGGGACTATCTCAACTTTGTTGCCTGTAATGGCAAAATGCTGGAGGTTCTGCAGGAAGCCCACCTCCAGCGGTATCACCACTATAGAGTTATGGCTAAGATCGAGGTGCCTCAACTTGAGAAGGGTGAATAGCGGTGACGGTAGAGACTCCAGCTTGTTGTGTGAGAGATAGAGCGACTCCAGGTTTTTGACATGGCTGATGGACAGTGGAATGGTGATGATCTTATTGTGCCAAAGTTTGAGGCACGTTAGTCTTTTGAGGTGCTGGAAGCTGATGACCTCCTCAATGGAGCGAATGTTGTTGGACTTTAGATCGAGTTCCTGAAGGTTGTTCAAACTGAAGATGGCGTGGGGGATTCGCTCCAGCTCGCAGTTGAGAAGCTCCAGCTCTGCAAGATTCATCATTTTCTTCAAACTGTTCAGCACTAAGAGCTTCGTCCCGTCATTGTGAATGACCAGTTTGAGCAGGTGCGGCGACAGATCCGTGATGTTTGTCGGGATCTTTGTGAGGTTGCTTTTCAGATGCAGGATCTTTAAGTGCCTGAGATCGCGCAGAGACTCGAGTCCGATCAGTTTGTTGTTTTCAGAGTTCAGGTTACCGACCAAATACAGTTCCCTCAAATTTTTCAACAAGTACACCCAGCTGGGAATCTCAGCGACGTCTGTAAATTTGACATGAAGGCACCGGAGGTGATCGCGTAGGAAAATGAAAGCAGTCTGCTCAACTTTGGCAGGACAGTGGTAGAAGTGCAGCTCCTGGAGGTTTATCATTTGAGAGATCTTAGCGGTTATCCTCGCCTCTGGGATCAATTCTAGTTTCAAGATTTCCAAATCAGTCAGATCGAACACAGCATCCGGAACTCCAGAGAGCATGAAGAGGTGAAGCTCCAACTTTTCTTGAGGATTGCGCGTTACATGCTGCCGCAACTTCTCAAAGGTCCACTCGTGGTTTAGACTGATCTCCCGAAGTTTGTTCTCACTCACCTCAGAGAGAAAAACCCCAAAACGCTTCGAATACAGCTGGTCGTACTGATCGACCATGTGGAGGAGGAACGCAAAGTCGTTCTTAACATCAGGAATGTCACTGAAGCTGCTCTCCTCTCTGACTTTCTCAAAGGAATACTCCTTAAGAGGTCGCCGAAAAAGCCAGAACAGCGTGTAAATGCAGATAACGCCGTAAACGCATATGAGAGCGATATAGCTGACGAGGAGCTTCTTTAACATAAATGCCATGTTGTGTGTACACTGGAACTTTGCATATCCAGTCAAATGCTTTATTTCAGGCTCACACACATGATCAAAATCTATAGAGGCAACAAATGTCATCGTGTAGCACAGAATCAAGATAAACTTCACTGTTTTGATGACTGTCTGAATGGCATAGAGTCTGTAAATCAAATCACTGTCCTCCACATGGGCACGGAATTTCCTCACTTTTTCGAACAGGGCCTTCGCTTGCTCGCCGTCTTTCTTGTCCAGTATGGTCATGGAGGGAACTTCGCTCACGAGCTTCTCAGCGGAGAACGTGACCCCAGATTTAGTCAGTATCGGGGCGGACTGGTTGGGACTCCCCTCCTCGCTGCTTGTGGACAGATGTTTCAGGAGAGACGAGGCACCAGCCAGCCTCTGCTTGTTCTCCTCCGAGTCCTCACACGCCGTCTCAGACAGAGCTTTAGTGGTCCAAGGGGACTCGAAACATTTTCCCAGTATGGACACAAAATGTTCTATTTTCGAACTTGTCTTTGGGTATTTGAACCAGAAGTTGCTACTGACCATCAATACAATAGTGTGGATTAGAGCGAGGTATGGGAAATATTTGGAGTACCAAGGAAGGGCGACGTGGTAGCACATCTGGTTGACAAAAACATACTGCTGAAAGTCCAGCTTGGTCCTGACGCCCGTGGGCTGCGGCTGCCCAAAAGTAGGCGACTGTGTGAAGTGAATTGTCGGGGCGATGCTGTCGGGAGGCCTTTTAGCCATCAGAGGGGCCGCCTGCTCCCCAATGGCGCTCTCTTTGTTCCACAAGCCATCAGCCGGCTCCGGTGTTTGGGGTCCCAGGAAGCCCCCGGCCCCCTCCGGCGTTTGTTCCAGAATGGGAAGACAAACCACCTGGTCCTTAGTTAACTGCATGGTTCCAGAAAATATGGCCAACATCAGCATGACAATACCAAGATAATCCATGAAGACATCCCACCATGGCTTCAGTATTCGGTAAGTTGGCTGGATGTCATTCAGGGAGGCTACTTCTGTGAGGGTGAACATTCCTGCAACAGAGAATTTGAATTAATAAGAAGAACATGAATACAGCTGTTTCTGCATTCTGATAGAAGTAGTTCTTCTCCCATGTTCAGTCTAAAATGCATCCATGTTCTCAACCAGGTATTTACCCTTAGATGGCTGACAAAGTGGTAAACCAAAAAAAACTGACATTGCAGTGTTTAGTTTTTCAGCAATATACACTGGAATATAAAAAAAAATACAGGATTTTCTACCAGATAAAAAAAACTCTTAGTTGGAAAGAATTATTCACTCTCTAATAATTGGGTACATTTTGCAGGGCAGCGCATCTACGTTGAAAATAAAACACATTTTTAAAAAGTGGAGAAAATAATCAAAATGACGTTATATTGCCAAACACTGTTTGCACCAGATCCCGAAAACTAAAAACTCAGCGCTCCTCAACACAACAGTGAAGCCAGAAGTGACTCAGCTGCAACCGACGGTCATGTGACAAAAATTCAGAGACTTTTCAGCTGAACTGGGATGAACTGCAGGCTGTGTTAACACACTGCAGATAGGAAGAAAGTATGGAAACAAAGTAAAAATGCAAGTGTTCAGATATCTATAGTATGTAGATGTCTGTGTGAAGATTCCAGGTCATGGTTATTCTTGTAGATTAATCGTAGCGACTGGACTTGCTTGAGTTCCTTGTAGACGTTTCCCCTCTCATCTCTTGGATATTGTTACGAGAATATAGTATGTAGAGTTGCCATTACGTTCCATTAACGGTAGCACCAAACTGGACAAATGTTGTACATGTTGAGTACAGCTTCTGTCAATTACATAATCAAAGAAATTGAACTTAAGTTCTTTCTTTTTAATGATTAATGGCATTAGAATTGGTCATAAGGTGCATTAGACATTTTGCAGTTGTCTATACTGTTGTGTTGTTTCTATAGAGGTGCAGGATTTCATATTGCAATGAAAAATGAGCCCACAGTGAGAAAAAATGTGACAGGAGCGAATAAAAACCCGTTAACTGCTCGGAGTTCAGAGGGTTGATGTTGCATTTGGCGGTGGCTGCTGAGTTTATGTCTAGTTGTAATCCATTATTTACATCCTGCAGGGCTTTGATTGGGTTCAGAGAACTCCGGTACAGAAGGACTCTGTGCATCTGTAATCCACTGTAATCCAGCACAACAGTCTTGTTATAAGTCATACATTTAGTAACACCAAGAATTTTAAGTGACCCTGACAGACAGAGAAATGTTGCTGCTTGATTATTTTGTTGTATTGGATGTCAGAAGGAGCCCTTCACCTTCGTTATAGCGACATATTTAACATAAAGGCTGCTCATTATTCAGCTTGAGTAGTTTTTTAAAGGAAAACACTGAATATTTTTTGGTTTCTTTCCTCCTTTGACAAATATCTTTTGGACAAAACAAGACCTTTGTCATCTCAACATTTTGCCCCATTGTCTGACATTTTATAGGTCACACAGCTCATCAATTAATGGAAAAGATAATCGACAGATGCATCGACAAAGAAGTAATCATTAGCTGCAGGCCGAGCATTTAGGCTTGTTGACTGAGCGCGTGAGGAAATGTGTGTCTGTCTCATCCAAAATGACCGATATAAAGCCCCCACCCTGCCTGATGGTGTGTGCTTCTTTAAATTAGGACCCGTGTCAAACATGAGCTCAATAAATAGTTCCATCTATTAAAGCTGCACTGGTGGAATTAGGTGGTTTTGAGTGGGGTCTCAACACATACTGTTAAAGCAGCACTAATTAAAACAGATGCAATGATGTGAAGTCATCACACATCACCGAATAGAAGCACCGACTGCAGAGCTACAGGACTGCACCGGTTTTATTTATGTACTGTCCAGTGCACGGTGGATTGTGAGCTGCTGATAATAGACAGAGAGAATAGAGAGTTTCTCCCTGGCGCGTTTGGAGGAGGATCAGACAGGACAGCCTGGTGGATTTAGAGGAGGCTGCCCTTGAACTGGGGCACAAACAAAGACATGTGTTGTCTGCTGCAACCTGAATCATCTATCACATGTCTTTTCTGTGCACCTCACTTTAAAATAACCCACAGAATTCACAATCACGTGTCCTGCCACCACCACCACCATCACAGTGGCTGTGTGCAGCACTGACATGTTGACTGAATGCTGTTGGTGCAGATGGAACACTCAGTACGCACAAACTGCTCTGGTCCTGTTAGTATTTAAAACAAATAAAAATAAAATAACGACCTATTAAATAAAAAGAGCGATCATTTGTGCACCACTGCGGCTACAATCTATTGTGTGTATCATGAAGGTCAGCGTTGTGAGCAGGCTGAGACCGGCTCCAGCAGCGAGACGCATCCATGGACGCCAAACAAGAGGTGGAGCTGATGTGAACCGCAGCGCTCAACGTTACACCGAAAAACCTCCATCCGACCACATTAAAGCAGCAAATCCAACAACATTAACAATCCACCGGGTCTCCCATCGCCGTGTGGCCGCTGCCAACCACCGGGCCGAAGCGCTGCGGCTGTTTGCGGAGCCCAGATGAGGAGCTGCGCGCAGATACGCACCTTCAGGGGGGTCTGATCCGGTTACGTGGACGGCGGCGGTACCGAGCGGTTACAGTCCATGTTCCGCCGATGCGATGAAGCCGTCCATTCTTCGCAGCAGTGGGAACCGTGGGCCTGCTGGCGGGGCAGTAAGCAGCTTAAGCGGACTCCCCCCACTCCGCCTCAGATGGTCGGCTCCTCCGCCTGTGCGTGGCGCGGCGGCAGCTGCTGGAGGCGGATGCTGCTCTCCGTGTGCTCAGGCCGCCCGGCTCTGCTGTGGTGAGCAGCAGGAAGCTCTCCTGAAGGCGCACACAGCTCGTTCCTCCACATCAGGAGCCGATGAAGAGCGTTTTTGAATGTTGGACAGTAAGCTGGAGGATGGCACGCTGGAGTTAGGGACCGTCGCAAAAGGGCAACAGCCTAATTTAAAGTTAAATCACAGCTTTGGTTTGCTGTTCCAAAAACACTAAACAAAAGCTCTCACTTGAAAATGTAGTCAAGAAACGTTCATGGTGTCTTTCCCTGCATTTAAAAAAAAATATATCTCAGAGGAGAAAACCCCTGTTTGTTATCAGAGACACTAAAAACTAACTTTATTTTCATCTGGATCTCAGTCCCATCCTTTGCAAAATGTAGTTTTGCTGTTTTTCCCAATCGTGACATAACATTTTCAAGTCAAGCTTCAGTTCAGCATTCAGCCGTGTAATAGATTTAACACATGATGGAGCTCTACCACATGAAATACCATCAAATGGCCACACAAGTCACCATGAATCTGTTACACCACTGACATGACAGTTTAAACCCTTCACAGCATTCACAATGAACCACATAACACACAGTGATCAGCATGAACAACTCCTGAATCTGCTGGAGTTAAATGAAATTGAATTGCAGCAGTAATTTCATTATTTAGTAGCCTCATTTGTCCTAAATTGCAGCCCTTGCGATTTGCTAATTGCACTGTTTCAAACTGCGTCCATTAATTGTTCAGCCCTACTTAAAACCAATCTGTTCTTGGTATCTTTGCACTCTACGTACATCACAACCTACGAGCCAAGAGCTGAAAATGAGCCCTTAGGCTAACACTGGTACATTAACAGCGGTGCTGATCAATGTGCATTATTCCCGCAAAAAAGAAAAGAAAAAAAGAAATCATGAATAAAATGGAACGATAATTAAATATGTAAGAGATTTAGCAGAGCCTCATTCCTTTGTATAACCCTTTTTTATTTAGATTTTTACTTTACAAATGTCATTTTTTAAGTAAACTTTCGTGAAACTACAAGAGAGAGAGAAAAAAGAACAAATGCATTGTGAGAAGTTTCTTTTTGCATTCACAAAATTTAATACAAATTGGAGTCTTGTTTACTAATGAATTACTCTCGTAATTCAGACAATAGCTCATTGCAAGATCCAGATCCTGTAATTACAAGACATGATTTTGGAATAAAGAGGTAGTCCTAGTAGTCCTACAAATGCTTCTTCTTTTACTGTTTGCTTGCTAGCACGATGTATTTCTGTACTTGAGGAACAAAATTCTGCATCTTAAATGACTGAATTTTTATTTAATTGCACCCCAAAGCTCTTACATTGTTGGCAAATATTTTGTTCTTACTAGTTTTTCTTAAAAAAAACCTGGCAAAACTTGTTAAAGACACTTCAGACCAACTTTTTGTTTTTGTGTGTGCCTCATGCCTGCATATTAATAGAATAATCTTCTTTGCTCTTATTAATCCTCACCAGCCAGCAGGTGGTATCTTATCTCACAACACAACTGAAAATAGGACAAGCTGCTATGTGCAGTTACCCCATTCAGACACTCCAGCGCTGCTGCGCTTTTAGTGGACTTTTAGAAATATCAAATGACGTTTACAGGTAAAACCAATTTTATTGGTCAACAACATAAAAACACTGTTTATGAAAATACATGTTTGTAATAGGCTGTACACTTCTTATGCATGTTTTACCAGCCAAAGAAAAACACCAGTATGTCATAGTCCTTAAAGTTTAATGCACTTTGAAATGCCAGCACTCTATAATACAGAATAGCTACGTTATCTTATGCACTTGTGTTAGATCTGACCTTTGTGTTATTGTTTTCCCCTGCTGCAGTGCATGTGAACTAACAGTCTCTTAAGAGCAACATCATACAGGTACAATACAGCATAAGGCTACTGGCCAACACTAAAGTGAGGTCTTCAGTTTGGATTTACATTCATATTATTTCATGTAGCAGTGACAGATGCTCTTTAAATAAATACCTCGGCATTATGGGAAAGCCGCTCGTTTCTTTCCAAGAGATAAATGAGAAGTTTAACATCAATCTCAAGTCTGTATATGAAGCTCAGCAGCTTAGCATAAAGACTACGGGGGGAAAAGTTGGCCTGGCTTTGTCCAGGGATGACTGATTAATGTACAATAGGGCAGCTGGTAATGATTATTTTCATTGTTGATTAATCTGTAGGTTGTTTTCTCAATTTAACCATTAGTTTGGACAATAAAATGTCAGAAAATGGTGAAAAATGTTGATCAGTGTTTCCCTAAAAGCGACATGACGTGCTCGAATGTTTTGTTTTGTCAAAGGAGTTCAGCTTACTGCCATAGAAGAGGAAAGAAACCAGATTATATTACATTTTAAGAAGATGGAATCAGCTGGAATTTCCTTTAAAACATTACTCGATTAATTCATTCATCTTTGCAGCTCTAACGTACAGGTATGAGATCGATATGAATCTTGTCCTAAAACTCTTGGCAAGAAAGCAAAAAGCATGTTTCCCCAAAATGCTGAACTACCCCTTTAAAAAGGACTTGTGGCCAGATGTTATCTCCCTGTTGCAGCCACGCTCAGTGTAACAATATATGAACAGGTTTTTTGTGTTTTTTTATTTTTTCCATTAAGTAATTTGAAAATAAAACTCTGAACTAAAACTCTCTTACCAGTAGTGTGATACATATGTATGATAATGGCTTCATATAAAACAAAATGCTCTGAATCGGTTGACAGAACAAACAGCAGGCACTGCGGCTTCGTTAAGGCGTCTCACTCCGCCTTCATTTGGTCCCTGACATCTGAAGGCAGAGTTTCAAACAGCGTCTCCTCCACTATAAGGCCACTGCGCTTCAAAGCACGACAGCAACCGAGCTCTTGCGGCAGGATCTCAAAGTGGTTCCCTTTGAGCTCCAGGTAGGTCAGCAGAGCCAGGTAGGAAATTTTTGGTGAGAGTATGGACAGCGAGTTCTTGCCGAGCTTTAGCGTTTTGAGTTTCTTGCAAAAGAACAGTTCATCTGGTAAGTTCTCAATTTTGTTACACGTGACAGAGAAGTACTGCAGACTCTGCAGGACTCCGATTTCCGGAGGGATGAATCGGATGTCATTGTTGGAGAGGTCCAGGTAGCGCAGCTTGTTGCACAGGAACAGGTGCGAGGGCAATATCTCGATCTTGTTGTTGCTGAAGTAGAGGCGCTCGAGGCTGCCGAGCTTCTTGATGTGCTCCGGGATGTACATGATGCCGTTGTACCACAGCTTGAGGCACGTGAGCTTTCGAAGATGCTGGAAGCTGACGATCTCCTCTATGGAGCGGAGGTTGTTCTCTTTCAGGTCCAGCTCTTGCAGGCTTGTCAGGCTGAAGATCGCGTGAGGAATACGTTCCAGATCACAACGCACGAGCTCCAGCTCTATCAGATTGGTCATCTTTTTCAGGTTGTTTAGCATTACTAGCTTAGTGCCGTCATTGTGTAAGTACAGCCGCTGCAGATGGCTGGAAACGTCCACGATCGACTGGGGTATCTTGGTCAAGTTACTCTTTAGGGAGAGAGTTTTCAGACACTTCATCTCCCGCAGAGACTCCAGAACTATATTCTTGGAGGCATCAGGGCTGAGTGACCCGGTGAGACAGAGCTCCTCTAAGTTGCGTAGGCCGTACATCCAGTGTGGAAGTTCCCTGTTGTCATCGAACTTCACCCGCAGCACTTTCAGGTTCTCTTTGAGGAAGGAGGTAGCAGTTGTGTGCAACTTTAAAGAGCATTGGTAAAGAGACAGCTCCTGAAGGTCTTCCAGCTGAGAGATTGAGGCGGGGATGGTGACGTTGTTGATGATCTCTAGCTTGAGTGACTGCAGCTCCGTCAGTTCAAAGACGGTGTCGGGCAAACCGGGGAGCATGAAGAGCTGAAGTTCAAGTCTGTTGTTGGTGTTCGTCTGGAGTCTCTGACGCAGTTTCTCCGCCGTCCACTCATGGTTGAGGTTGAGCTGTTTCAGTTTGTTCTCACTGACCTCTGACAGAAAAACAGCAAATCTTTTAGAGTACAGCGGGTCGTACTGATCGATCATGTGCAGCATGAAAGCAAAGTCATTCTTTACGTCCGGGATGTCGTTAATGCCCGTTTCCTGCCGCACGTACTCGAAGGAGTATTCTTTGAGCGAGCGGTAGAACAGCCAGTAGGAGGTGTAAAGGCTTGTTAATCCATAAACAGCCACCAAACAGAGGTAACAGTAAGAAAGCTTAGAAAACAGATGAGCCATGGTGTGATTGCATTCAAAGTCCTTGTAGCCTGTCATGTCCTGGATCTCAACTTCACATCGTACTCTGTTCCGCACTTTGTTCACCAGAGAGCTGTTATAGGCGATAATGAGGAGGAATTTAAACACCTTGAACACAGTCTGGCGAACATACATAAGGTAGAGGATGTCTCCCTCTTCAACATGCAAACGAAACTTCTTGACCTTTTCAAAAAGAGCTTTAGCTTGTTCACCTTCTTTTTTATCAAGAACACTTGCTGATGGCTTGTCCACTACAATCTTCTCCGGGATGGACCGGAGGGACTGTGTCTTCTCTAGACTGCCCTCTCCTGGAGAAACGGCAATGTTGGACCTCAAAGTGCCGCTCTTTTTATGGTCCTTTTCCTCCGGATTTTCTCCAGAAACCTCCGACAAAGCTCTGGTGGTCCAGGGAGAGTCGAAGCACTTCCCGAGCATGGAGATAAAATGCTCTATTTTAGAGCTGGAGCCAGGGAATTTGAACCAGAAGTTGCTACACACCATGAAAACGAGAGTGTGTATGAGAACCAAATAGGGAAAGTACTTGGCATACCAATGCAGAGCCTTCTCGTAACACATCTGATTGATGAAACTGTACTGCTGAAGATCCAGATCGGTTTTCAGGCCCGTCATTTCTCTCGGTGCGGCTGAGGTATTGGATTGCAGGTGTAACAGTGACTTCACTTCCACTTCGCTGCTGTTCTCTGAAGGCGATGATATTCTCTGAGGAAGGCAGATGATTTTATCTTGCATTACCTATAAAAAAAAGTAGAAAAAAAAAACAGTAAGATTAGCAAAATTACATAAAAGAGACGTTTAGACACAGCAATCAGTGTGTTTAGGTAATCAGGTTTCTGTCAGCTTTCACCAGCATTCAGCAGGTTTCCTAAATGTCATGTAAACAAGAAACACTGCTTTGCAAAGTACCCTATTTATTTGAATGACACCAGTGGAGGGTTTTTGCAGAATAAAAAGAGTTGTCTGAGAAAAAGTTGAAACCTGACTTGTACATCTGATTTAGTGCTTTGCAACTTGATTATCACTGTCAGACCTTTAGAGAGCAGCATCTGATAAGCCTTCAGAATCACGGGTCTGTCACTCAAACGGAACGTCTTACATCATCTTTCATTAAAACGTGAACTTCACAGCACTTTGCATTTTGTTAAGTGCATGGCTGTTATTGGTCTGGATGACAGGAGAGTGGAGAGATCACTGCTGCATTAGCTTGCATGGCTTGTAGAAGTCTAAATAGGTCAACATCCACTGCGGAAAATTTAACTATTTGTTATATCCAGACCCCTTTGTGCTCTGAGGAGACACTGTGCTTTCACGACAGAGCCTGTCCTCTCACTGCATCAGGTACACAAACACATACAGACAGTAAAACAACTGCATATCCCACAGAGACTATACACTGTACATTAAAGGTCCTATATTGTGCCCCTTTATAACAAATTAATAAAAGTTTCACATGTTCACGGAATGGGTCTATACATTTTTCAGCAAAATAACACAAAGATACGAGTTGTGTCAGAAAAATTCCAGGACTGGTGTCACAAAAGATAGATTTCAAACCCAAACTACCAGTTTTCCCCTTCAGACGATCAACCAGCACGTCTACAAAGAGATCCTGCGGCGCCAGAAGAGGTGAGAGTTGTGGCAGGACAAGTGGTGGCTGCTTCACCATGACAACGCGCCTGCTCACAACGCCCTGAGCATCCCACAGTTCCTGGCTGAGAGGAACATCTCTGTGCTGGAGCAACCTCCCTACTCACCCCACCTGGCTCTGTGGGATTGTTTCCTCTTCCCCAAGCTCAAGGGGGTCATCGAGGGGACCTGTTTAGAATCACCAGTTAACCTCAACATGTTTTTGGACTGTGTGGGAGGAAGTCGGAGAACCTGGAGAGAACCCACGCTGCACAGGGAGAACATGCAAACTCCACGCAGAAAGGTCCCGGGTGTCCTCACCGGGACACGAATCAGGGATCTTCTAGCTACAAGGCAACGGTGCTAACCACCGCGCCACCCTGCAGCCCAGTCCAAAGACATGCACAGGCTAATTGGTGATTCTAACTTGGCTGTAGGTGTGTGTCTGTTATCTGTCTCGTCATATTAGCTTGCAGTGGAGTGGTGATGTGTTCAGGGTGCACCTCGCCTCTCACCCAATGTCAGCCGGGATAGGCTCCACCCCCTGTGACTCTCTACTGGAAAACGCAGTATGAAGTTGATGGATGAGCAGATATAAACTGCACTCTCTGTGAGTGTAACTTGGTTTCGAGAGTGCATGTAGATGTCCTGTATAAAGGTCAGGATCAGTAAACAACAAATGCCTTTGGTGATTACTTGCAATGTAAATAACAGGCAGCTGCTTGACTCTGCTAATAACAGGAAATGGGCACTTTAATTCACTGGTGAGGGACAATCTGTGCACTGTGACTGGCTGAAAAACAGATACTCCGCCCACTTTAGTGTAAGAAACTGTGTCAGTCTATGAGTGCACATTTATAAGGAGTGGATACGGAGTGGCGTTACTACAGTAAGGACAATGCAGTTGTGCTGCAGAATCCCAAATACAAAGTCAAGTCTGCAGAGGTCTCTGAAGAGCTGATCTGCAGAATTTTTCAAACTATGTCTCTGTGCTTCTGCCTCAACACTATAAATGAAGTGCTTTTTGTGTCAGGCAGTGTAATAAGAATCCACACAAAGCTGCATGCTGATAACGCGCTCACTTGCAAAGTAAACTTGGCCACAGAATTAATCATCCACTCAATTTACGGACTGTTAGATGATGTCCAAACACTGTTATGGTGTAAGTGGGAAACAATGGCTGATCCCGCCCTGATAAATATCCTGTTAACAGTTTTTCCCAAAATGTTTTGGTATTATTTCCAGGATTTACACTACAGAGCCTCACAGCAGCCAAAAAATGTCCCTATTCCACACAGAGAGAGAAGTCAAGCAGCAGGCCACAGCAGTTTGGAATCTGATGTTTACTGAAAGGAGCTGGGTGGGTAAATGTTTCCACTGTGAGCTCCTGATGGGCTGAATGCTTCCTTTGCTGCACACAGGCCAGGTTGTAAAAGCACAGAATTAGCGTTTTGAGCGAGTGCCAGAGCAGAAGGCAGTGCAGTAATGTTCCATCAGAGAACCTATAGACTTGCTCTGGTGAATTAAATTATTACAGATTTAATCAAAAAATGTCGAGCAGCTGCTTCCATCTCATAAACATGTTGGAGTTCAAACTCGTGTGCGTGCATTGGCCACATTCACTCAAGTAGAGACGTCTCGGCGAAGCGTTGGCACTGACCTGAAGAGTGCATCCAAAGACACCAATCATGAGCATGATTACAGACAGATAGTCAGTGAACACATCCCACCACGGCTTCAGGACTCTGAACGCTGGCTGCTGTTCAGAGAACTGCCGGAATTCCATCACAGGAATCATGATGCCTGTAGGAAGAGAAAGGGCAATTAGACTTTCAGTGAGGACAATGGGAAAAATGAGCTGGCCGTGGTGAAACAATCACATTCTTTAATTTACAGGATATTCCAATTTAGACCAACTCACAACAGTCTAATTCATGAGGCCTAATTCAACTCCCCTTTACAATGAACTGAATTTGTGACCCTTTGATTTTCCAGGTAGAGCCACCATCAGGCCACATGTGACCACCACTTGACTCATTCCTAAATACATTCAGCCTCAGTGTGTAGTGCTTTTAAACACATTTAAACACAATGACATGCGAAACCAAGATGGTGCAGATGGTAATTACCCTCGACCTGCAATATCTAGCTATAGGCGTCCTGCAACTGAAGGAACTCTTTTTAAATCAAATGTGACAAGTCAGTGTTGGATCCAGCCGAGAACTCAAAGGCACGATGCATAGCAATCACAAAGCAGCCTTGCACATACCCTGCTGTATCAGCAGTTTTCCTCTAAATGGGACTATAATTTGCTAAATGAACATCATGCTGTACTGAAGGACACTTGAAACTAGCAACTGTGACCACAAACACTTGAGGAAAATGTTTACTGAGGGAACAGATTGAGTTAGAAGTCAGGCCATTTCCTCATGCATTTATATACAGTCAGGCTTTTTTTTTTTCCAGAGAATTCGCCCCCTGCTGGCTTTCAGAAAGAATGCAGGTTTAAGGCACTTCCCTGTTTGCTGTGCTTTTCAGACCCAGAGGATACATCAATCTTTTGTGTTCAGTGTACAGCGCTAATATCACAAGCAGGAGATTGCTACGTTTAGCATGTTAGCATATAGCTATTAGCGTTTAGCTCTAAGTACTGCCCCCATCACTCAAGTCAAGTCAGTTTTATTGTCAGTTTTGCCCAATGTATAACATACAGGGAACTGAAATTGCCATACTCCGAGGGCCCACGGTGCTAAATGAACATTATAAAAGTAAATTAATAGCAAAAAAGAAAACAAAAAAAGTAGAATATAGCTATAAACAGGATATAAACATCGAACGGAATTCTGACTAAAAACAACAAACAATAAATAGACAATAATTAGCAGTGTGTGCAATTTAAGTTAAATCACTGAGGAGTTTCGAATGCTCGACTTTACCCCCTTGTCCTCCTCAGTGTCAGCTCAGTAATGAAAAACATAAACCAACAAATCCCATACTTAAGGTTCCCTCACCCTGATGAGTACATCCCGAGTGGAGATCTGACATTATACAAATGTGCATTGCAGATGTAACTATTTAAAAGTCGGTGCCCACAAAACACTAAATAAATGACTAATTGTGTAAACGCTCGTGACAAGTGTTTGGACATTAACAATCACAGTCCAAGAAACCCACTTGTTTGCAAAGTGGTCTCACACCCGGGCACGCGATGACTTGACAAAATGACCAAAACCAGTGTACACACAGCTCACAGGTCTCGGAGCAATGAATCTCATTAAACGCCATCACCAACCTGACTTTGTTAACAGCGGCAGCATGAAAACGTGTGGTGTTTCCCTGATGCGGCTGTCTGCTCACACTCTCTGTGGTCACCTTCCCTGAAGTGCTACAGCTGCAAGTATCCTGTTTCAGGCGTCTGCCCAGCATTAGATAAGCTGCAGTGTTCAAACTGAAGAAGACCTGTGATGAACACTTTCAATGCAGGTTTAAGTAAAAACATCTCAGCTTGAAATATACATATGAATACTTGAGTCTGTTGAATAATCTGAAAGGTGGCAGACGATAGCGTACAGTGTTTTATCATCTACAGCACCAGACAGACAGCTGCTGTCAATAGCTCAATACAGTCATATTCAAACTTGAGTCTATTATTAATAAGATTAGCTGCAAGGTATTGTTAAATAGGTTGCTCAAAGCCTGGGGGCCTGAAGAAAGTTCATGTTTTTTAGATTCCAATTAGGTTTTTCATGCACAATGTATTTATTGATTCTTCGAGCTCAGTGTCAGAACAACTGAAGATTTTAGAACAGCTTTTCAGGAGA